CAAATTTTGAGTCAATAAACCTGAGCTTTCTGTATGTGTATATGACACAATAAAAAACACCACGTCACACAATGATGAAGCATTCTCAATGACACATTGTCAATAGTAAGGTCATCCATCCTTAAAAAGAAGATATGAATTCCCTGTTTGACTGGAATGGTTCCAACACAGAACTTTGCACCGATGTGCACCAGTTCAAGTCGCCAAACTCCCTCCTTGTAGCACACAAACCAAGAGAAGAAAGTAGAGGAAATGCATAATACAGACAGTAAACAGAGGTGTGAGACAAAGAAATAGTAATAACGAAGAACGGTATAGTTTCATTGTAAATTGTAAGTCACAAGGAGTGGATGCATCTGCGCCAGCCATTGAGAAGGATTTTGAGCCATATCAACAACTGTTTCCAACCATTGGTTTTTACCGTCCCTAGGATCCGAACCAGGAAGTCTATATCTTCCTAAGTGGCTTAAACTAACTGTTGTAGATTTCATTGACATGGTGTCATGTTTGGGTTTGGCCGCCGCTAGCTCTTTTCCAGCGTGAACCTATGTCAGCTAAGATTGTCCGTCGAGGGAGGCGATGACTAGGCATACCTAAGACATGTCCTAATCGTCTCACTCCATGTTAGAGCTAATCTTGAAGTTTCGGAAGCAGTGGCGATTACTTTTACAGGATGGGGTTGCTAGCCTCATGTCCAACCTTCCCTCATTACCAGTCTTACTACTGGCTTAGCGTGATTAGGGAGTGCGTCGGACGGAAATCGGACCCCGGATCATCCGCGTGGTTGGCGAGCACTCTACCGTTGTGGCACCGATGCACCTGGTACCAGGGTGCTTAATGTTAATGATCCAGTAGAGTAGAAGCAGAAATAGCAACCACTCAGTGATATGGTTTTCCATCTTAAAGCCGTCAAAGAAAAATTTCCTTATGGTAACTGAGACATGTTGAGTGAATATGCTAACGCAAAGCAGAACTTCAAGACAAGACATCCCAGAACTTATGCTCCAGGCCATCAGCCCCATCTGATGTATGGAGCTGATGACACTACCCACCAGTCTAAGTTGAAGTAGAGAGGGGTGTCGAACCCCCCGCCCAACCCAGACTACTAATAAAGACTCAAAAGTTAGAAAATGGATATCTTTTCGATTATTTAGAAAGTGATTGTTAAAAAACATTGAAAATTCTGTAGTCTCTGAGGACGTAGTTCAATAGAAAAACTCCATTTTAGGGTTTCTGACCAGGAGTCCGGGTTAGAAAATATCTCAGTAGTGAAATTGAAACACGTATTCGAAACCATTAGAATGCTAAATACAAATGATTATATCAGTAAGAAGACTACTGTTTCAGTCAAGCTGGAAAAACCTGGGAAAATTTGTATCACTGCGCTACATACATGCATGTCACAGAAGCAAGCAAGCACCCTACCTTTGAATGCATTTAAGGTGTATTCTGCGTATCTCGAGACGTCAGAGGGAAGCAGGAATACAACATAGAAAAATGATACTGAAATGATACACTGGGAAGAAGAAATAACATCTGCTAAAAAGCTACTTATATCACGGCATCAGTAGTCTACACACATGAAAGGCACAAAGTATCACTTCTTTTAATCAAGCACATGATTATTACTATTATTAAATTACGTAATAACCCAATGTTCAATCTTTACCATCTCATTATATGGCATGGTTAGGACATATGTTACGTATTCCTAGCCTAACCATCGTCTTCCTCAACGGGCAGGGTAATGTTAGCTGACAGGGTCACGCTGGAAAAAAGCTGGTGGCGGTCAAACCAAAACATGGCCTCAGCAGTCAATCAAATCCACAACATTTAGTTTAAGCCAGCTAGTCGGTGGCACAGTGGTTAGGACTCTCGCCGACCATGCACATGGTTCGGGGTTCGAGCCCACGCCGGCGCACACCTGATATCTATGGTCGGCCTGAAAAATTTGGGCTACCGATATCCATGCTGAAAATTCCATACTTGTACCAAAAATACGGTGTGGAATCAAGCTGTAAATCAAAAAAATAAATAAATAAATAGTCACGTAGGAAGGTTTAAACTTCCTGGTTGGGGTCTTTGGGACAATTGGTGATATGGGTGGCCCAAAGTCTTTATTGATGGCTGCCTCAGATGCATCCCCTCCTTGAGACTTATAATTTCTTCGTTACCACTTTTCCTTTGTCTCACACCTCTGCTTACTGTCTCTATTATGCATTTCTTCTACTTTCTCCTCTTGGTTTGTATGATACATGGAGGGAGTTTGGCGACTTAAACTGGTGCACATCGGTGCAAAGTTCTATGTCGAAAACAGACAGATATAATACGGTACCCAAGTATACAATAAAATAAACAACGGATCTACATTTTCATGGGTAAGATTTAACATCCTCATGACTATCTTCGCACAGAGTTTTCAAACTGAGACAAGAAAACTTAAAACACCTAAAGAAGAAATGCTTACACAGTTCCCCTAAATAAGCGTCGTCTTCGCTAGGTAGTATAAAGGAAAATAAATCAATTCGTAGTGCTGTTTTTGTAGAAAAGATTTTAGGGATGGTTACATGAAAATATGACTGTCAAGGAGTCAAACGTTGGTCAAACGTTGGCTGCATAGGAATATGTGACTTTCATTGGCTCAAAGACCAGATTTTTATCCCCAATTAGTCCCGTTTCATCTATTACAGCTTGACCAAATGGGTCGCATTATTAACTATTAACACAATCAGTTACACAACTAATGTGGCTGATGGCCTGGTAAATGTCAGATTTGCTTCTTGTAATAGAGTTTTGAACAACAAAGTTGACCGATGGCTTAGGAAGTAAGATAAACTAAGCAAACGGGCAAATGGAGGAATTATTAAAAGAAGACAGTTGACTGAATTTTCACATTACTTGAAGAATTGGAGATAAGATCTTGATTTTCATGAAAAACTGATACTGTACCTGACTGATGTGAGGCATACTTAGAAAAAAGCTGCAAATGTTACCTTACAGACCAGCCATGCACCGGGACATCAGATGTGCCAGTTATAACAACCCAACATAGAGCCTGCTTAATTAAAGCCAATGTTGGAGGTTGGGTTCAGAACCAGCAGATCGTAGGTACACTGTAAGGTACTCTCTTAACGAATATGTAGTCGTCCCGTTCATCTTTACAACATTCTACAAGGAACACGTGGTTAAAACTTAGAACTATTGGTCAAGTATCTATAGGCACTCAACGCGAACTCATGCAGCCAACCAAGTGAGGGCTTACGGCGAGTTCTCATCTGAAGTGGTGACAACTAGTGGTGTCCGTCAGGGATGCTCACTATCCCCTTTTCTCTTTAATTTCATCATAGGTGTACAAATGGAATGAACCCTAACTGACTTCAGAGACTCAGGGATTGACTTGCCACCAGGGAATAATCTCGTTGACTTAGAATATACAGATTGTAGCGGTAAATAATTCCCCAAAATTATTGACCATAAGAATTATCAGTGAACATTGGATGCTGACCCTTAGAGTTTAAGTCGACTTGTTTAGCTGAAGGCTTCCCGTCAAGCATCCCCGCCATTTGATACTCCGTCGTATCACTGTCGTGCACGATAACTAGCTAGCTTAGCTTCCGCTTCAATCCGCGATTTGGTTCCGAAATATATCTTGTAATTTGGACAACCAATTGCTGTCTTTTGCTTTGCCTTTGGTACACGAGAATCAAATAAGTTAGAAGTTGTTGGTATAAGATCTTGCGTTAATATACTCAATATTGTTCGCGAACGTCTATACCGTAAGCCCCTAAAAGATTATATAGTCCTTCTAGGTGAGGACGCCGACAAAGTGCAGAGACTTCTGAACACCTTTAGCTGCAGTCTATGAATGTTTGACATGCGATTCGCTCCCAGCAAATGTATGATGTTGCAGGACCGGACTACACTGACTTTCAGTTTAGAAATAGAGAGTGAAGTGGTTGGTGGAGTGTGTTGACCGCTTCACCTTTCCGGGAAGTTGCATCAACCAGTGCCAACGGGTTGATCTGTGACGAGATCTCAGCCCGCATAAAGAAGGCTTGTTTCGCATATGCCAGTTCATGCTCTCTGGCCTAGTAGACGTGATATCCAGCTATCGAATGAAGGGTGTGTGTGTACTGCTCATCAGTCCGCTCCATCCTCCTTTATGGACAACAGTGAGACCTAGCCATTGAGAGTGGAGGACATGAAAAGGCAAGCCAGCTGTCTTTGACCATAGGTGCCTGCGTTCTATTCCCCGTGTGAAGTGGTATAATAGGGTAATATTGAGGTTAGTCATCGGTCGAGTGGTAGGTAAGGAGGGAGGCGGAATGAATCGACGAGGCTGTGAAGCTACATCGATTGAGATGGTGAGAACATGTGTTACGGATGCCTAGTCATCGCCTTCCTTGACGGGCAGGCCAATATTAGCTGACACAGGATCACCCTAGAAAAACAGCCAGCGGTGGTCAAACCAAAAGATGGCACCAGTCAATGAAATCCACAACAGTTAGTCTAAGCCAGCCAGCCACGTAGGCAGGTGTAGCTGTTTGGGATCCTCAGGACTGTACAAACCAATGAAGGTTGGAGACAACTGATGGTACTTTAGATGCATCCAATCCTTGGGACTTATAATTTCCAATGAAACTATATTGTTCTTCGTCATTATTCCTTTGTCTCACACGTCTATCTACTGTCTCTCGTATGCATTTCAACTTTCTTCTCTTGCTTTGTGTACTAGAAGGAGGGAGTTTGGCAACTTGAACTGCTACACATCGGTGCAAAGTTTTATGTCAAAAACAGACAGATATGACAGGAGAGTTCAAAAGTCAAGGAGAAACTATATCGCCGCAGAGTACTGGAACTGACACCTACAAGAAATGAAGTCAGCGCCTTTCAATTAACACTCATTCAAGAAGGGTTTGAAGAAGCACAGGCCATAGGAGACAATCTCACTATACATAGAAATAGATAAATCCTCATTTACACATAAATGATTGACTTACTAAGTTATATAAATCCTTAGTATTCAATTTCCCGTTCAAATGTTGAGGATCACAATGCTCCGGCTGAATACTATTCACAGGGGTATATAATCGGTGCAAGGATTCATGATTATTACCATTATTATTAGTAGTATTATTACTATTAGTATTCTCCTCAGGTGTATTCACAATTGCACAAACACCATTTTCCAATTCACTAGAATTATACGTCCTTCGAATAGTAACTTTAAGTGAATGTAGATTTTGATCGGTACTTCCATTCATCTGAAATCGTGTTTCACGTTTACTACCACTACCACCCTTTTTACGTAATTTCCGTTGATTCATATATCGACCAGATTTGTTACTTGTTGTCGTCTTCTCCTGCTGAGATGTATTCATTAAACCAGTCGTCGGTTGACTTGGTAACTTCGATTTAAAGTCTTGTCGTTGAACACGATTAGGATGTGAGAAACAATTGTTAGCATTAGAGGATGAATGCATACGTGATAGAGCGGCTGAAGGGATTCTCGAAGCTTTGGAAGTACTTACACCAGATGTATTATTGTATAATCCATTCGCCGCGGGTGTACATCCGATTTTGTGGAATCACCAACTAACATTGGTTGGGTTTCTCCACAATGTTTATCCATATATAAACTAGATGAAAGATCTGAGGTAGTTGTAGGACCACGATGTCGCATACTTCCAATCATAGAAAGCTTTTTTTATATATATAAGATATATAGAATAATAAGTATTGGTAATAATCCGGATGTGGAAATCAATTAACAACTTTTATTGAGCAAGATAAATGCTGCTTAAGTAGTTATTGATTAAATATTCCGTTTTATAAGTATTAAAAATCCAGCATCCATATCACAGGTATCTACGATGGTGATATTTCTCTACATAAAACATTCCACAGATTATTGATCTGTAAAGAGTAATATATATATATATCCTAGGCAGATTGATGATCAGTCTCTCTAATGTCAATCTAATGAATACAAGTCGATAAACACAATACAACAGAGTGATATGTACTCCTGACCTTTTTTTTGTAAGCCTGTCTATCATCTATCTACCAAGCTCTTTCTATGTTTCTATGCTAATTTGATAGATAGAAAAACGAAATAACGAAAACTGACATATACAATTGACCAATCAGAAATAAGGCAAAAATGATCAATACTCTATTTTGATTGGTTATCTTTGTATAATGGTTTAACCTAGACTGTTTATAGCTACTTTTCAAGGGGTGGTGGTGGTGGTATTGTGTTCTAGTAGTGACGACGATTAGACTTGAAATAATGCACGCATGAGTCACTACTACCTCTCATTGTTCTTTCAAATATGGCTGGCTCATGTTTAGTCATTCCATGCACCTTATTATAGTCGCTTTTTTCACATAAATTTGTTTGGATTTACCCGATTTTTTTCAAATATTCTTCAGTTCACAATCTGTAGGATAGCAACTATAAATACATATATATATATATATATATATATATATATATATATATATATAATTTAGGTTGCTCAGCTCACGTATTTTCGAAATTATTATACTTGCACTTAGGGTTTCAAGCTTATGTACTTGGCTACAGGTTAAAAGTCTCAAATTTTGAAATGCATAGTCAGTATTGTCGCTAAATATTATAAAATAAAGAATTTGTGTTGAAATGTCTTCGAATCATTATTATTATTATTATTATTTTATCCTTTAATTCCTAGAGGAACATAGGGCTTCAGCCACACGTCTTCATTGCCTTCGGTTTTCTGCCAACATTTCCACCCCGCTCCTAGTCTGCCCACATGCTTTCATCTCATCTTCACATCACCTCCTCCAAGTCATCCTCGCACTGACGACCAACTCGCCGCTTCCCTTTCGGATTTCACTCGAGGGCTTTTCTTATGATGCTGCTGCTGTGTTTCATCACAACATTGTATCCTCCTTAGACAAAGGGGCCAAGTATGTCCGTTGTACTTTCCTTGATTACACATCTGCTTTTGACTCTGTACCTAGAGGCCTTTTGTTAAACAAGCTTAGCCTTACACAAACTGAGTCCTGGGCTATCAACTGGCTGCACTCTTACTTCTCCAATAGGATGCAGTACACGGTATATAATGGTGTAGCTTCCTCTCCTTTGCTTACTGAAGCTGGTGTTCCTCAGGGTGCTGTTCTCTCGCCGTTTCTCTTTTCCTTCTTCTTACATGACTTACCTCTCTCAGACGAAATCAACTTCGTCAAATATGCAGATGACCTGACTGTTTCGCTTCCCGTTAAGTCTCAGTCAGACTGCTTCAAATTAAATAGCTTCCTGTCGGACATCAGTCAGTGGTCTAAAATAAATGGCCTAACGCTGAATCCCTCAAAATGCCAGACTGTCGACTTCTCCTTTAGGCATAAACGAGATCTACAAACACTAGTAAGCACTCATGAAGTCTGTAGATTGAGGGGACTATAATTGAAACAAAGTCTAATGCAAAATACCTCGGATTAGTTATATCTTCCGACCTTACTTGGTCATCTCATATCCAAATGATTTCCAAGAAAGTGTTTCGTCTAACCTACTACATTAAGAAACTCAGACTAACTGGAGTCCCTCAACCTCTGCTTACACAATTTGTCAACTCTCGTATCCTACCTATTCTACTTTACTGTTCCCCGTTAGTCTTTCCTGGGTTACTGAAAAAGGATTATACCATCCTGAGAAGGATGTTGAAGGTAGTTAGTAGGACTAGCGGTGTAAAACTCAGTCAGCTCGTCACAACATTAGTGGATAAGCATCTGAATACATGTGAGAAATGGTCTAAAACCATACTCTCTGACCCCCAACACCCCCTCTATTCCCAACTCTCTCCCTGCATCTCATCAGGTAGAACCAGAAATCAGTATAAAATAATATATGCTCGCACAACCAAGTATAGGAACTCAACGATACCATATTTGGCCCGTGTTCTAAGTGACAGAGACAATGTTAGGCGTGAAACCTATGACTTGCTTTGTTGTTAATAACATAATTTTGGCCCTTGTTTTTTCCCCCTTACACTCTCTTATTTGTACTCTATAGTGAACAACCTTCTTAAACATACTTAGCTGCTTAAAATTATTATCATTGGCTTACATTTTTATTCTTTATTCTATTCCTTCTTTGTACATCTACTGGGTCCGACTATATTATCACTATGAGTATTAAAAATTGTCCCGTCATTAACCATCATGTAATATTAGTTTTGTGGTTGTTCTTTGTTCGGCACTATTTAACTGACAATCTTGTTTGTTATTGCCACTATCACCATCTTAAAAAAATTTGGATTATGCATGATTCCTCACACTACCACTACAAACAACCGCATTAGTGCTGACAATAAAAAAAACAACCTGAAATGTTTATCTTATGATTGTTTAGTGTTGTTCAATCAAATTAACTGATCATCATGGCTATAAACATTCTTAAGAACATCTCATAATTTCCCGTATGATTATAGCTGTTACTGTTCACCACGCATACACATATCGTAGCTTCCACTATCAAATACTGAAATATTTTTTCCATTATTTGTGTTGATCTTCTTTTTTTACTCAGTATTTTTATTTGCATTTTTTTTGGTTATTTCTGTTTCTTTTTTTTGGTTTTTTTTATATATATATTTTTTTTATAATACTCCTTTTAAATGTACGAAGAAATTAGATGCAATATTGTAGATATGTGCTGAAAATTCCACACTGTACCACAAGTACTGTTTCTGGAATAAAGCGAAATTGTTATGTTATGATACTTGATGGTTTCCTCAGAGTATGGCCAGCCAATCCATCTCCATTTCTTCCTGCCTATATATTTCACAATCAATTCCTGGTTGGTTCGGTCATTGCCAGAGATCCCTGTTTCTGATCTTTTCTGACCGGCCATCTGATCTTGAGTATTGAGCGAAGACAACTGTTAATGAAGGTCTGAAGTTTGTTTGAGATGCTCTTTATGACGCGCCAAATCTCTGATCCGTATAGTGAGTAGCACTGACTTCACATTGTAGTTGAAAATCCGGATGTCATTTTTGATGCTGAGTGCTGTTGACCTACACACAGACTTGTTGAGAGTAATGAAAGCTTGTCTTGCTTTTCCGATTCTGGCTTTGAGATCCTCGATGCTTCCCAGGTAGGTCAGTGAAGGAGGTCGTTTCTTTCAGGTTCCTCCCATTTATGCTGGCTGATTGTTGTCTGTTGTTGTTGTTGCTGTTGGTGGTGTTGGCCTGGAATCATAGTCACAGTTAAAACTGTCGTCTCTGAAATTTCAATCACTGAATCCCATCTGAAGTTAGAGCATAAGGTATTGTTCCGTATGTGCAACCATTCACCTTAGGTCTTCTTGAAGTTTCACTTGTGAATCAATTTGAAGGCATGAATTGATACTACAAGACTGTTGTATTGACGGTCGATAGGTTCTTAGTGTTTTATACAAGCAATAGAGGTGAGAGAAACACTACCTAGGTATTATTGATCGCTTAAAACTAGAGAAACTATGCTTTTATGTAACATTTCATCACCATACATCATACTTCGAAATAGTCTTCAGTGGTCTGCACTTTAGAATGATAATAATAATAATAATAATAATAATAATAATAATGATTTACTTAATTCCAAAAACAGTACTTGTGATACAAAATGGAATTTTCAGCATTAATCACAATATTGCATCGAATTTCGTGAAATTATAAATAAAAATTAATCACACAGAAAATTTTCCACACTTACAATAGGGGTAATGTCAAAAACATGCAGCATATAAAATGGAAATAATAATAATAATGATAACAGCTAAGGTAATAATAATAATACAATTGAAAATTACCGTGGGCTTGTTTCACACACTGTTTCCGATGCGGTATAGAAATCCTAACATGTTTAAAAATATTGATTACAATGTTCTCTTTACGTGATAAAGTGAGGGGAAAATAAAGATTACAGCAGTCATGGAGATAAGTTGGTGTTTGCAATTATGAGAGTAAAACAAACAGAGAAGTAACAGAACCATAAATGTAATAGAAATAATAAAAGTAAAACTTCAAGGTATATAAGGATGGATGGAGGAATGATAAAGGATATTAGTTTTTAATTGGTGGATGGTGACTAGTAGTGGAATCCAGGATAACGCGCATTTCGTCCTGTTTGGGACTCGTTGGCTAGCTGGACGTACCTGCATTTATCAGTGAGTGATGATGTTCTCACCGAGGTTCGAATCCAGTACCTTGAGACCGAATACTTCGGTCCAATCAATCGATGAGAAAATCTCAAATTCAATTCAATAGAAGGATATTAATGTTCTATTGCAAATATAGATAGAAGTTGGGATTCATGAGTCAGTGAATTCTAACTCACTGATTGCCGTGAGGGGGGGGGGGCTATTCCAAAGGTTCTGCGTCCATTATACTACACCTGGTGGGGTAATGTGTGCCAGCAGCTAAAAAGTCTCAATCAAGAACCAAACATCTGTTTTATGCTCTATCTAATATTGGTTACCGATGTAATCTACATTCTAAATTATCGCAATGCCTAGTCTGTATGAGATGTATTCAATTTCCATGATATCAGGTTATCGACTAAAGGGTGTGTGTACTGCTCACCAGTCTACTTCATCCTACTTTATGACTGTCAGCGAGACATGGCCATTTGAAGTGGAAGATGTGAAACGGCTGGCTAGCTATCTTTAATCATAAGTGTCTGGATTCTATCTCCTTGTTTAATGTTTATAAGACGAATAATATTGAAATGAGGAGGGGAAATCAATCGATAAGGTTTTGAAGTTAAACCGACTGAGTGAGATGGTTAGGACATGTGTTAAACATGCATCCCTAGCTAGCGAATGCCTTCTTCGAAGACTGGCAATGTTAACTGCTGACATAGAATTAGGTTGGAAAACAGTCAGTGGTGGTCAAATCAGAACATGGCTTCATTAGTCAATCAAAATTAACAACAGTTAGTTTAAGCTAGCCAGCCACGTAGGGAAGTGTAGACTTCATGACTGTTTGACGTCCACGGGATGGTTAACACCAATGAAGGCTGGAAACAATTGTTGATATGGCTGGC